TCAAATGTTCCATTTATATCATTTAACCAATAATAAGCTACCAATCTGATCATGTGATAAGCTGGCACCTGTGAATCTCAGTTTCTATTTCCTTTTTAAATAACATTAAGCACAGTTTCAGCTCTAATGAAATTTTGAGCTAATGTTCTCATTTAGTTTCATCCTGTCCATTTGGACGTGTGATGATAAATGAACAGTGTGTTCTTATCAGAGCAGATCTGTCCTGCAGTGCAGTTAGGAGCTTCACTGTACGTACGCTCACTTCAAATGCTGTGAGTTACCTACAGGGGGCGCTATGAATACACCCTTTTTATTCAGACAGACATAAAGATGTGATTTTTACAAAGCATGCTCTGGAATCAGAGGCGTGACGTGTAACATAGCTGCATCTGTGTCTGTCCCACTGTTATGGCTCTGGCTTTTATAAGGCATTGATTCAGCTCTGTGAGTACCTCTGCTGACGTCCCTTAAGACAGAACAAAAATGTCCCCCCCTTGTCATGTACCTTTTTAACAGGCAGAAAAAAGGAGCTAGTATTAGTTTCTTTCTATCCTGATCTCCTGACACTTGTGGTCACTGCTTTAACTCTGTGTTTTAAGAGTAATGTGTTTTTGTCCTGAAGCTGGTTGTTCAGCTGTTGAATCGTACTTTATGTTTATGACCAAAAGCCTCTGATGAGCTAATTCCACTCACACTCAGACAATTCATGTTTGACTGTAGACACATGCATGTGTTCCCATCCTTGTTTGTCGCAGTATATCCTACTCATCAATAGAGGGTGCTGTCTGACCTCTGTTTTTCCCTGCCTGCCGTTTCTTGCCTTTCCAATTGATCTTCTGTGATGACCGACCATAATCTGTTTCACGTGGTTATAAAGGCGGTATTATGATCCTTTGAAATCCACTTGATGGTTCACAGTATTTATCCACAGTAGTGGCACAAATGGAGCCAAATGTTTTCCTTCAACCCATCATCTCATTATGCTGACACTAACTAACGCTGCTGCTGAAATAACTGCTGTGAGCCCCAGTTGATGGTGCAGAGGATGACACAGGCCTGCAGAATACTGTATCTCACTTTAGACTGTGGACGTCTGCCAGCTTACACAGTGGAGACTCACTCAGCTGTTGAAGTGGATTCAATATGAGCTGTTGGCTGTATCAGTGCATGAGCCACTGCTGCTGCTGCTGATGTGTGAATGCCATTGATGCAAAGCAGTAGGATCCATTATTAGCTTTCCTGTCATTTTCACTAACTCTGTTTAATGAAGTGTTTGTTTTTGGGAGATTCTCCAGACCTGTCTGCCCATGTGATGTGTTCCCAATGAGGCGATGACTAAATTAGAGATAGGAATGAGAATATTGTCCCAGGAGTGTCCCCTGTAGTGTGGGTGTTAATGAGCGTAAAACCAACATTTGCTTTCATCAATGACTGGATATGTACTGTAACGTCTCTCCTGTTAAAACCCACTCCACCTGCATAATGTGACATTTCAAGACACAAGTGCTGTGCCGTTGTAAACATGCATGTTTGGAATGGACTGTTTGCTTGGCCTGTGCTGATGCTGGTTGTATCTTTCTCTCTGAAACTGTAAAAGTGGCCGGTAGTTAGTGAGCAACTTAAGAGTGAGTGCAGGACTCAATGCACAGAACTCTGAAGCTGCACCACTGCTGCTGCACAAAGAGCTGTTCATTCAAAGTTCAGAGAAGCTAAGTATGCAGAACACTGAAATTGAGAATCCAGTTGTTGATGTCGTCCTTTGTTGTGATCGACAACACCATTTGTTAGAGTCCCAGCCGAAGCTGCCAAAGAGAACTTATTTTGTGTCCAAATTACACCAAATTCAACATTGCACTACTTGGGCACTTAACAATACACACACCAAGTGTGAAGCAGATAAAATGAACGATTCTAGAAATATACCAGCCACATACAGTGATTTTGGGAATAAGATGATTGAAACTATAGTCACCTGCTTCCAGCATGTTTCAGTTCAAGTTGAGACATCTCACTTACAAGATTGAGTGACTGTGTTTCTATCCTGAGGCGTTCGATTTGATAGTGTGGTTATGCTTCTGTGTGTGTGTGCGTGCGCGCGGCTCTTTCGTGTCCTCTCCACTGTTTTTAGAGGAGCAGTGGAGCGGTTAATGTGCTGGCCTGGCTGTTATACTAAAGAGAGCTCCGTCAGTAGCAGTGTGTTTCTTTCTATCCTCAGGTCCACACAACCTGTCCCTTTTGTGTCCCAGGCAGGACCACCCCAGGGTCCGTCTATATACAAGACACTGGGTGCACTCTGAATCACAAAAACAGACTTACATGTGGTCTTTAAAGATGATTCCTGTGTTTTCACTTACTATAGCAAAAATGTGCAGGATTATTATAGTACCATTTGAGTTCTACTGTACGTACTGTAACAGTCTTCACAATCATTTTTGGAGTTAGCTCTGATCACGTGAAGATTTCAATTTTTTTCCCTTAGCATTTGAAGGAGGTTTTAATTTCATTCTTGACCTTGGAAACAGCAGTTTTATGCCAACACAGATAAGTAATAGAACATCAAAAATATTTGTTTGAGGCCGTTGCAACAAAACCAAAATTCCGATCTCTAATGGTGTCAAAGTCACTTTGCACAATGAATTAGTAATACATTAGTTATATGCGGATTATGGATTATTGAAACAAGTCAAAATTAACATTGAAAGGAATCAATCTCATCTTTGAATTTTGCAAACAGATGAAACAGACGCCAGACCAGCGACTAAATGGACTCTGCAGTTTCAACTAACATGAGAATGAAATCAGGCACATAGAGGACTGATATCTATGATTAATTGAGTGTAATTAATGTAAGTGTAATTTGGTGACAGGACTGTTGGGCCTTGGCAGAGGTATGTGCTCTACTGTGTGCCATAGTTGAAATAGTTTTGGTAAACTTTTTATGGCTGCTCTCTTTTTCCATACCAAAGCAAATATTTTTACATTGTTTTACCAGCCACTGGCTTTCATTAAATAGGTATGGAGCAGTAAGTAGCATCACAATACAACAGCAGTTACATCACTAATACATGGTAATAGTTACATAATGATACTGCGGATGCTTTTCAGAGTAAACTCATGTCTTTTTATACAGGTGTTTGATCCTCGTCGCTCTGGTAAAACGTCTCTTTGCTTGAACTGTCGGTGAATCTTTAGGTTTTTCAATAATGCGATGGTGGTGGGACGTCCTCTCCCCACAGGGTCTCTCCAGGCTCAGCCTCAGATGATTGTCCTACAATAACTGGTCCCACTGGCTGTGTTAAAATCCACTGTATAACTGCCCCCCTCCATTAGCTCAGCAGGAGTGTATCTTAACAAGACCAATGCAGTTGGCGAAGCAAAAAGCCTCCTTATTACCGGTGCAGTCTGTCCCGCTGGTGATTCATTCAGGCACATTCCCCAGGAGCTCGATATTGTGATGGATCTCTTGCCACAAGGCTGTCAGCCCATCAGTATTTGTGTTTGTTTGTGTCATAGCTGGGGCCACATGAGCGAAGGGATTTTTGCAGTAATGTTGCAGACAGACGGCAGTTTCACCAGTCCTATTTATTAATGTGATGCAGCACAGAGAGAAAGAGCTGCTATCAGATGAAGGGAATCCTCGCCAGGAGAAATGGAGACACACATACAGCGATATGGACAGAAAGCAGTGGCAGGTGATGATGGAAATGAGGATATAGCTCAAAAGATGGAAATCAACATTTTGTGTCGTTTTTTTCACATTAAATAAATAAAAAAGCCTAGAATTCATCTAATTGCATTATTTCATTCAAATTGGGTTCAATATCAAAATTCATTCAACATAACTGTCAGAAAAGACTTGATGGATAGAGATAATATGCTGCTTGTTCTTGCACATTTCGTAATGTGTCCATCTGAAATAACTAATGGATGAAAATTAAGCCAGAAATTAAGCTATTCAACAACTGTCGCTGTGTGGGTGTGACCGACCATGCGTGTGGACTATATCTACGTGTGTATGTTTGAGTCTCGGTGTGACCTGTACGTGTGATGTATAGTGAGCCAAGCCAAGAGAGATGTTACAGGATCTTTTTGCCTGCGTCAGCAGCATTGCAGGGAGGAGGAGAGAGAGGGGGAGGGAGGGGAGGAGAGGGAAAAGGAAAGGGAGGATACAGGAGAAAAATACCAGTAAACAGGTGCCAGCTCCATCAGCATCTCCCTTATTATAGAGCATCCGCATCGTACATGAGCACAACACGTAGTAATCATTCATACATTTATATTTTTATTGTATACACAGCTGTAAGGAGAGATGAAGGAATGAAGGGGCCAAACCAGAAGTCAATTAAGCAAAGCTTTTGTTGATGTTATGCTATCACACTTTATAATAGATGTTCAGGGAGTGCTGTGGACCAGCCTTATTGCTCACAGCCTCACTCTAATATACACCAGCACACTGCACCAACATCCTTGCACGGGTACCAATCCTGTGTGCTGCAGCGCCTGAACAGTAAAAAGGGAGGGGGGAGCAGAGGGAGAGAGAGGGTAAAGGAGTAAGAGGCAGTATTGTTTTGTTTTTTTTCCCTCATGCATGTTTAAGTTTTTTTTTTTTTTTTTCCTCTGTTATCCTGGTGCGTGTGTATGTGTGGGAGATGGCGTGATTGGCTGTGGTGATGTCGGGTTCCCTGTGCAGCCTAGAGAACCTTCACAGATGGACACGCAGCAGGGATGTGAGATACTGAGAAATTAAATACAGGAAAAGGAAACAAAATCAATAGAATGTGAGGATGGAGAGCTGACTTTGATTTAAAGCTGCTCGAGCTATTCCTCAACTCAGTCAGTACATTCCTTTTAATCTCTGTAGATATGGATGCAGGGGGGTGGATGTAGATTTTCAGCATTTTAAAGCAGTGGAGAGAAGGGGGATGTAAAGAGGAGAAACAACTTAAGAATAAGAAGGGAAACCTGTTTGTTTGGTTGTTTATCCATTTTCTTCTGCACAGGAGGAGGAGGGAGACTGGAGTGGAGAGCAGTGACTGAGGGAAGTGTACTTGAGCGATTGAGAGAGGGAGCCTGTGTGAGCATTGGAGAGAGAGAGAGGGAGAGAGAGAGTTGCGCTGCAGTAGCATCCCACAGCAGACGGCTGAGGACTGCCGATGTGTGTGTGACTGCACTGCTGAAGAGGAGGAGGAGGAGTAGGAGGCAGAGGGTGAGCACGCTCGCAGACTCCGCAGGAACACACGGCAGCGGCAGAGGCAGCAGCAGCAGCGGCAGCGCTACTGTTGGCCCGAACCAGGTGGTCCCCCGCAGTCCCACCACCGCTCAGGATCTGCACACGCCAACCACGACACCGCCCCGACCCACGCCGCCACCAGCGCCATGGCACAGGCGGCCAAACATCTCCGCAAGAACAAGGATTTAGAAGCCCAGCTAGAGCAGGAGCGCAAAGAGAAGGAGGAGGAGAGGTTTAAAAAGAGGAGTCGCTCGCGGGATAAAAAGCGCAAGGTACTGGGACCCATTCACAGGTGGGGTACAGTCAGGGGTGTGGGTGAGGTGATGTTGGGATGGGGTGGGGAAGGAGGGGTGGGGGGCAGGAAGGTTGAGACCCCCCCCCCCCTTCTGGTCTTTCTCTGTCATGCTAAGCTGTGGTCAGGGGGTTTGGCGGCACACATGGAAAGCCCAGTCATGAGCGTGTTTCCACTGTGTGTACACAGTCTCCCTGCACTCATGTATGTCCCGCACATACAGAACACGGGGAGACGGTACAACACACTGCATGCTCTCCTACTCCCCCTCGACTGCTTGGTACCTGCTTTATTGACTGTCCTGTACGAGCCGTCTGATAAGGCAGCGTTGTACTGTACTTCTCGCCGTGTCTCTGTCCCTCCTTACATCTCTGTCTCGTCTTTTCTCTCTCTCTTTGTTTTCACACTGCGGTATCGTGTCAAGCGAGAGAAAATTTCATCACAGCAGTAATCTTCCACGAGGAACGGTGAGGTTTTTTCCTGTGCGTGGCATTGTAATGACCGCAGAGCAGCACCTGCAGCCTTCTCTCTTTCTGACCAGTCCCAGGCAGAGCTGAGCTGAGCTGGAGCGACTGGTTGTAAACAATAAATCTCTGTTCGGCCAGTCACAGACTGCGGGAAGGTTGTCATCAAGTCTACTTTATCCCTTTGGCCGTGCTTGTCGCATTTCACTCAAACTCATTAATGACAATGAGTCATCTGCAGATTGTGCTGTTGTGTATTGGCGGCAAATTGGTCCTCAGCAAGCGAGCATGAGTCCAGTCGCCCCCTGTGAGGCTGCGCTGTGCCAGGCTGGCTGTAAATCAATCTGATGCTGATGCAGTAGAGACACTGTTATGGACAGACACACACAGTACCACTTCCACCAGAGAGCGGAGGCAGGACAGATAAGGGCTGGTGCAGCGATTAGATTTATATTTCTTTATCTGTTGTGCTTGTACAAAATGGAGTAAGATGAGGTCAGAAGGTTTGTTGTAGCAGAAATCAAAGAGAGGAGAAAAAGAGGAAGAGGTGGAAAGGTGGTATGACTCAGATGTACCTGGGGTAGTTGTTTCTCAGCAGGGATTTTCTCCTCAGCTCATTTCTTTTATGTTTCGGAGCGTCAGGCTGCTTTCAACACATGAGTCGCTGTGATGACTGACACCTCCATGTTTCTCCATATTTTTACTCAATATTAACATTTTCATTGTATGAAAACCAGTACACAGATGCCTGCATGTAAAATGTGCAAGTTCAGATTGCAGTTGGGGAAGACCTGCAGCTCTAACAGTATGCAAGAGGCAGGGAATGAGATTTCTGGTGAGGGTACTTATGCGGCCCAACTTAGACTGGAAGTGTGTGGTTTCAGAGGATCCCATATCACTTACGTAACCATGCAGCTTAAGTCTTTCAAATAAGCTTCCTCACTCCCCTCCAGCTCCCCCCTCCCAACCCCTCTCCTTTTTTTAAACACCGGCTTACAGCCATTCCTGGTTTCTGGAGCAGATGTTAATACAGGGGGGATTCTCTCATCTTTATCTCTCTGTCTCTCTGGTGCCCTCTTTGTTTCCTCTGCGGTGCCTGCAGCTACAAAATACAAATTCTACACACTGTAATTCATCATCAACTGGTTAACCTGATTTTAGCTATATTTTGTCTTGTATCAACATGTCTTCATTCTCGCAGTGTTGTCGAGGGCCACCTTCCTTGACAAAGCCACATTTATTGGTTTACCACGCTTTGCATTTTGCTCAAAAACACATTCATAAACACAGCAGTTTTGTTTTTTGTCACAGGCAAACCAGTCTTTTGCTTTTTAAGCTTCAATTTCCATGTTCACTGGAGGCATTTCAATCATTCATTGTGTGAATCTGATGTGTTTTGTGTTATTACCTCTGCTGAGGAGGTTTGTCTGTCTGTTAGTTGGCAGCATTACACAAAAAGCACCGGATGGATTACCACAAAACTTGGTGGAAGGATGTTGTAACGATCAGGAGAGAATCTAATACCTTTTGCTGCGGATCCAGGAATGATTTTTTACTTTTGTTTAACATTGCAACATTTTTTTTTGCATGGAATAATTAATGGATCTTGATGAAAAAGAAAAATCAGACATGTTTAGGGGAATGATACTTGTGCAATTTGGTGCAGATCAAAATATAAAATGAATAAAAATCCAGATTTTATGAATTTGAATGTGGTTTCATGAAGCACTGTTTGGCCTCAGCAGAGTTATGCATTCTCTCTTAGTGCCATGTGAAGAATCCCTAAAAGAGCTTCTTGTATTAATCTTCACATGACTTTTACAAACAAAATATTTCAACTTGTGCTTGATTTATTGTTGTTCAGGTATTTCAGTCCCAGCAGCAGGCCTGTAAATGGATGGCTGTGTCTTTCGGTCAGCTGGCTGCTTAAACCTTTGTCTGATTGCTCTCCTCTAGTTGAGTTTGGTCTAATGAGTATTATGGCCTCTAGGGGATGCTAGCTGCTTATTAGAATCAAAAGCCTGATTTATATTCCATTAATTAATTTTAATTTGGGGTTTTTTTGAAGACATTTCTTGATTTGTGGATGCTCTTAATTGTTTTAATCTCTTTAATCTACGGTTGGTGTTTTACATGATTATTTCCGTCCCTGTGGTACATGAATCGTTGTCCGCTGATGAGCGTCCAGAGTCATAAAGCGAACAATTCGTCATCAAAGGTTGAAAGTGCCAGTTTAATTGGCTTCATGGTGTAGTGGTATTATACGGCACAGGTGCTGAGCAGTGGATAATGTTGTCCTCAAATTACTTTTATTGATGAGTGTGCCCCTTTTGAAAAATGAGCATTGTCAGGATGTGAAGAAAGACCCTTTTTCAGAGTCAGCACCTATTTTCACCTCGGCCTGTAAGTGTGTTTGTGTCCACATCTGAAGCTGCATCAGGGTCAAGTGGTTAACATGACAACAGTGGCGTCGAAAGATATGTCTGAAGTGGCTCTTTGCTTGGTCCATTGTTAGTTCATAATTTACTTTATATCATTTAACTTTATTAAAGATTGTTCCAAGGTCACAGGAAATGTACATCTGCTGAGACAGAAGACGTATTAACACTTCATGGATACATGATTTAGTTTTTCCTGTTTACCTGTGTCGTTGTGGCCCATGCATTCTTAAGATATTGGTAGCTTTATTTTGGTATATGGCAAATTGAAACCTTTTCTCTAATTGCAGATATTTTTTTGATCTTTGCCCACTATAATGATCTGCTTTAAAACGAATGTATTAAGACAGAAAACTAGGCCAATATGATCAAACTCTTTTGTTTCTCCTTATGATGAAAAAACGTACAACTTTAAGTTTAATGTCTAATTCCAATTCTTTAATAATAAACTAAATTTGTCTGGGAGCTGATATTAAAAGCCATAAAACTATCTAAGTTGGACTCTTTATGACTGTATAGAGATCTGCTTCCTCCTGTTACCGGTTGTTTTAATGCGACAATATGGGATCGTTATTTGGTGAGGCTCCAGGCTGTTTAACAAATTCAATGGTCCCGGGTCAGGACGTATGTACAGAGCGGCATTTTTCTGTGCAATAATATGGATTTCTACATGGTGTCATTTGCCTTTTGCTCATTTGGTTGAATGGGCATACGTTTTGTGTTACATGAACTACCACTATTTCTCTCATTAGAAATATTAAATCATTTAACAGTTGATGAAAATCACCCAAATTACTTCAGATTGTTCCTGGTCTGATTTAAAAAATTATGGTTATTATCCTTCATTGACTTGTTATTAACACTGATGAACTGGCACTGCGATTATTATTTTCATTACTACTTATGTCTTTTTTTATTTTTTATTAAGCATTCGATAATTGGATCTATGTTATAACAAAACGTATCAATCAATTTAGGCTATTAAAGACCACAGTAAAATGTCGTCATAGGTTTTTTTTTTTTACTGGAATTTTAATACTCACCTGTGAGAAACTGAAAACATTGGATGTTTGGTGATTGTTCTTAAAAAAAGTGAATGGGTGTGTGGACTTAAAGAACCCCACTGTACATAATATTGTGTCAAATAATGTAAGTCTGTATTTGCTGTGGCCAGAAGATCATCACTAGATTTTGACTTGCCAGGGCAGCTGAGGTCTGACCTGTCTGTGGCTCTGATTTTCAGACTCATCAAACAATAAGTCTGGTCGGGATCAGGATGCACTGTCTGTCTCCCTTGTTGCTATTTATTGTCTGGAACACAGTGCTGCTGTCTGCAGACCACAGTCCACCAGGCATCTTTTTTAAAACTTAAAAAATTGTCGTATAGATGCTTAGGCAATTAATCAGCCGTGGTGCAGAACTGTGGAGTTAATATGGCTGCAAGCGAACATTGCGATGTTGAAAGTGCTATCATAAGTGCAATCTCCTTTTTCATATAAAGCAGAAGTGGCAGCAGTGGATCAGCATCCCAGCCTCGTCTCCGTCTGCCCTCCAAAATCTCTTACCCTCCCTGCCTGAACAAGAAGCACAGCCTGCACTGAGGTCAATGTGTCGATGTCTGAGACAGATTGGTACTGTAGGGCTGTCGAGGTGTTGATGCTGTGTATGTGTGTGTGTTTCGGTGTGTGTGCTCAGGTTTGGTGCAGTGGATTAGGGGTGCTGCAGCAGTGATTAAACCCATCGGAGACAGCGCTTGTTTGTTTCCTCATTGGCTGTGATCAGAGAGATGAATTTTAAATGAGTCGTTCTCCAGGTCAAACCACTGGCAGATGATAATTAGTTTTATTATTGGCTGCTACAACATGTAAATATTTAGTTTTTATAAGTGCCTTTAATATCATGTTCAAGACAAATAAACAGTGGCCTTTTACTTCGCCGCTTCTAGTTGGATATTGATTGGTCCTTCCAGCAAGGTTTGCATTGGTTTTCTAATTCTTGGTTTGGACTATGAATTGTCACTAAGTCGGACATGTCTTGTTTTGTCTGAGCAACAACTGAGAACCTCAATATTTTATGAT